CAATATTTATCACCACTAAATTTCTAGATTTTCAAATTCATTATAGGGTTGGGGGACGAGAAAAAAATGTTTCGGGGGGGGGGGGGAAGCAGGGACAGGGCATGAAAAAATGTTACAAAAAATTAGGAGGGGGTGGGGGGGTGGGCAATATACAATACAGTCCTGAGACCAATCTCTCACTACTTAACCTGCTCCGGGGGCATGGGTGCCCCAGTCATCTAAGGCGCTGCAATTTGCTGCGCAGAGTTGCTTCCCTTGGGCACGCCAGAAACCTATGATTGTGGGTTCGAATCCCGGGTTTCGAATTATGTTTCTAGGTTTGTCAGCACCATACCTGTGCTCGTGGCTTTCACCGAAGTGGTAAATGTCTAAGACCTGCATCACTTGGGACTTTCCTCCCACATACACACCGTGATATGACTGGAATACTTAAAAGCGGCGTTAAACCCAACTCACTCACCATACCTGCTCTACATATTCCCTTTGTCGGGCGATGGTATGGTTTGCTAAACGTTGAAGCACTGTGTTGGGTTAAATCAAATCTATTCAATTATACACAGTCTGATTTCATTAGCTGGTTGGAAATAGTACATACGTCACCATTACACAGCATGGGATGTATGTATTCATAACATAATGGAGGAACGTAGTCTACAAAACCTGTTAGTTATTGGCGACAGTGATTCATAATCGGGATATCATGGAGTCAGGTGATGGAGCTGCTGATGTTGAAGACTGGGTGTATTACAATTCCGTCACAGCTGTCTCAATGTGATATATAAGATAAACCTTATGAAATACTGCAGTGTAGATATAAGGCACCAGGAAAATCTAACCTAATAACACCGATATCAACACCTTTATTGCATTCTGTGATGCATCAGAAACCTCCACCCGACAGTCTTGTCATTTCCCGAATTGCCGTGTTTCGTATAAGCCTGTCTGATTACCCTGTTGCTGAGCAAGTTCAAGAGCTAATACCTTTGTCATAGAAGCTATAAGCACCGTAATTACCAGCACCAATGCTGCGATATCAATACTTGCAGCGCAATCCCTACCGAGCTATCTGAAATGTACGCACGTCAATATCACTAACTTGCAAGCTGAAGTGTGGTCTTAGATTATTGAAGACTTGGGTTGTCGTTACATTTACCTTTGATGTCGTTGTTGTTGTGGGTTTATGGCGCCTCAGTCTGTTTATGTATCTTTTTATCTTATTGATTGTTTTGCTTGGCAACAAAAGATTTCGGTGAAAAGTTAATGGAATGGTTTATTGTCTGGGTACTGATAGTTAAAAGAGGAAGTGATGCATCAAATCTAATTGAAGGTAATACTAAACAGATCCGCTGTAGAGGAATCGTTGATGGGAAATAGATTTTGATGGATTTTACGAAAACACTGAATAATATTTTTTGTTTCTGTGAAACCTATTTTCAATGATTAGTTTGGAATTTCTTTTTTAAAATGCTGCAAGAACATCTCATTGTTTTAAGTAGGTTGTATGTTGAGAGCTTTTGATTGCGTCAGCATCCATTACATCCTTTTAAATATAGGTATCCTACAGGTGACAGGTGTATGTATTAGTATAAAGGTAGGTCCCAGGCTGTTACACAATAGAATACTGTTTATCTAGAGTTAAAATAGAGATATATGTTATTTGGATGTTATCAGGATTTTGCTTCATTTACGATGCTCTTTTTTCATGTTAGATGAATGGACATCCATTTCTGATTGTATCTGAATTTGTGAATGACAAAGTGAGTGAGTGAGTGAGTGAGTGAGTGAGTGAGTTGGATTTAATGCAGCTTAAACAGTATTGCAGCTATATCACGGCGTGTCAGCCTAATGTGGGAGGAAAGCCCGAAGTGATGCAGGTCTCAGACGTTCACTGGTATGGCGCTGACAAACCTAGAAACATGACCGTGGTGAACACAGTCATAGGTGCCTGGCATACCCAAGGGAAGCAACTCTGCATAGTGAATGCACCTTAGATGACTGGGCACCCGTGCCATGGATGACAAAGGACTCTTAAAATTAAACATGTTCAAATTATGTCAGTAAAGGGAGATTTATTCATAATTGCAAGTATATATTAATAAAAAATGACACTCATTCAATGATTACTTCTTTTCCAAGAGGTATTTTTGTACTTTCAAATTAAAAAACAAAAAACAAACTGCAAATAACAAAGTTTTATTTCAGCGATACTTCCATGCCATAGTTTGGTTGTGATGGTGATGAGGTGACTATTCAAAGCCCAGGTTTTCACGATATTCCCAGCATCAATCCCATCTTATGATGATGATAAGCTTCTGTCAGACCCTAATACCACAGCCAATGCTGACCTGTTTTCAAAGACCACATAATCGGAACAAAAGCGCCACCGAAATGCAAAATCAAATAAACCCATTTTATATTTTCTTCACACAACATTAAAAATCCTCCGAGACCAGGAAGTTCCGACTTTAGGGAAAGTACATCTGAAAAGTGCTTTTAGCTTTTAAGCTTGTTCCCACGTTACCTGTCAATTAGATTAAAACGAGATGAAAATGCTGAAGTGTTAGTCCTAAGTCTTGTCACAACCCTTGAGTTTTGCAACATCGCTTGCTTCATATTGACCTTCTCCTAAAGTCGTCCATGGTCCCATTCCCCATCCTCATCACAATTTGAAATGTGCACATTTATTGATTTTTGTCCCCCAAAAAGTTTTTACCGGTTGGGATTTCTCATTTTTAAAATATTAATTCTCTTGTTTCTTCTGTTGCTTTTCTTTGTATTTTTGGATAATGACATCAATTTCTTAATAACTGGTTGTCATTTTCAGTGATTTGTGAAATATGATATTTCATGTCAGAGGTTAAGGCATAATACAAAGGAATTATGTTATGAAAATGAATTTGTTTCATGTCTTGATCGGGGACACTAAATCAAATACTATTTTGAACTGAGGAAAGAGAAAAATTGAATGAGGTGAGTGAGTGAGTGAGTGAGTGAGTGACGACACCCAGTAAACAAGGTCATGTATTTTGACCACCGATTCCTCGTTTTAATTTGCTCTTGTGACACACATAGGGCACTGGGGACGATTTCTGGCAGTAATTCCATTCTTGGAGGATTTTAAAATCATTGTTTCCAGAATGTCAATGATTGTCTTTGCTAATTTATTAAGAGACATAACTATTGCCAAACCATTCCTTATTACTATTCAAACTACATTCAATTTGGATCAGTTAAAACTTACTAAATCTGCGATAATATACCTCATAACTCAACAATATAGTAAGAAGAAAGATTATATTTTCCTGAGAACTAAACAATTAATGGTGATAATCTTTTGTTAAGTTAACCATGATAACCTACTTATTGCCCTCATATCTACCTGTATACATCTTGAGTCTTCTGGACCGCCTCGGTGGTCTTGTGGTAGAGCGTCCGCCCGGAGAGCGGAAGGTCTGGGGTTCGATCCCCAGCCGCGTCATACGAAAAGACGTTAAAAGATGGTACTTGTTGTTACCCTGTCTTGCGCTCAGCATTAAGGGGCTAAAAGAAGGACTGTTCGGCTTGGAGTCAGTATACTGTGTCTGAGTTGGAAATTCATGTTAAACTGCGGCAGGGTATCTCAGTAAGCTAGCACTGTAAATCGGTCTGGACTAGTACAAGCAGCCACACACACACACGTGCATGCATGTCGCTATATAAGTGCAATAATCTTGGACGTGATGTTAAACCCAATTTCACCTCACCTTGAGTCTTCTGTATACAATTGTTAGTCTTTTCAACCGGATAAATCAGGATAGTGCATATATTTTTTCTGTCCTTGAATTGTTATGTTTTTCCTTAGAGCAACAGCCAGTCTTGGTTAAAACATATCCGTTTCTGCATCCTTCTTTAGGACAATTAACTCCTTATGACAAGTATGACGTCTGCCCATTGGCACGTACCATTGTGAAGAAAGGGGTAGTGGGTGGTCCGTGACAAGTTGTACGATGTATATGTGTGTGTGTCGGCTAAGAATTCTGGTATCAGCTTGTCACAAAGACCTCTTCATAGTTTTATGAACAACACGTGTGTCCACGAGAATGTAATCAGTTTCATCGTCATGACCTGCACGTGCGCAACATGCATACACCCTCTCTACCTGTAACGAACCAAATATGTTTGCCCAACTTCTGTGCACTGCCTACTTGTGTTTTTTGGTAGGTTTGACTTATCCTGGATTACAAGTAGTCACATATTTGTAACACATATTCCATTATTTGGGTTAAATAAAGGATTCATTACAATATTTCTGTTTTCCGAACTAAACTTTTATCAATATGATTACGTTGAAATCTGTTATAAATAAAACAGCAACTCGCTAACCAAAAAGCCTCCACAGGTGATGCTAAATATGAACTGCCGAAACAGTAGGTGCAAATTTGTTCCATTTTGTTTTGCTCTGGCTGTCCTTAAAGAAAATAATATATAATCCTCTAAACCATTATGTTTACATACAAACTAACCTTTCGCTTGCAAAAGCAAATTAGCTGCTTTTAGGTTAACATATGAAGACAGTCAAGAGTCCTTAGCATGGTCCTATAACAGATGTTTTGGGGAATTTCTAGCCTTGCTCCAAGGCTGTTCTGAAAGAAAAGTCCATGGATGTGTAGTAATTCTATCCTCCTAATAGGCAAGTCTAGATATGTGGAGAGTAAGGACTCCAGTCTCTTATAGGGACAACTTGTTCTTATTATTTACATCATCTAGAAATTATGATTTAAACTAATAATTATTGCCTTAGAGACTTGTGCAAGTCTAGGGGGTTCCCAATATTCTGCTTCTATGGCAGCAATCGTCAGTAAACCAAGCACCCCTTAAAAAGACCAAGTACGATGTTTTTTATTTGTTTAACCAAGTTGTTGTTGCTATAGCAGGTCAGCCTTTTTGGTGTTTGCTTACACTTTTATTTTGCAATTGTTTTTTGAGTTGTTTGTTTTATTTGTTCATTTTCTGTTTTTCAGATGACTTGCTCCTGCATGATGACATTGTGCCATCTTTCTGCATGACTGCATGATGTTTGGCAATCACCACAAACTCTTCTGTTTCATCCACTGTTATCTCATTAACACCTGTGTCTCCTGTCCTGCTGTCACTAGTTATATCTCTAGATGCCACGCCATTTGTGACCAACTCGTGTTATTCTGGGACAAGCCGAATAGCGACTCGTGTCCCTCTCGGGGCCATTTTTGAAACTGGGTTACGTCTAAGTCCAAACGGGCATAGCTAAACGAATTGTCAACTTGTTGCGTAATGATTCACGTATATTTCCCTTATATATCATATATATTTGATGCTATTAAACATATCAGGACTTACAGTATTATACAGTATTGAACTCAGTATGACTGTATCTTGGGTATATTTTTAAAAGCAAGGCATATGTAAAGTCAAACATTATTCCTGAGGGATTCTTTGACGGAAGTACTTGAAGTCATACGCTCATTCTGACTGGTTTGTCGTATTTTCGCACATAAGATTCATTGATAGGGGGACGAGTCTTCCTGCAGGTCACGGAAAGGGGCGAGTGGTGACGAATGGATGCCACGTCTGACAACTGTTACATTTTTTACTATATTTCATCGATAAAATGCCAGGATTCAAATAAACGTTGGGTTGTTTTTATGAATGGAAGTCTCCCTTTATTATCTTTGCAATTAATTAACACGGATAAAGTTTGTTTGTTCTTGAAGCCTGCACTTGGCAATATTCCAGCGAAATGTAGGTCCGTAAATGATCGAGTCCGAACCAGACGGTCTAGTGATTGATATCATGAGCATCAATCTACGCAATTGGAATACAGTGACATACATCAACCAAGTCAGTGAGCCTGACCAGTCGATCCCGTTCTGTGCCTCTTACAACAAGCATGGGTTGCTGAAGACCTATTCAGACCTGTATCTTCATGGGTCAACAGGGGTAAAGTGTGTCTGAAAGATATATATATGCCTGGGCGTTTAATTGAGGAAATACGGTATCATAATGGACAAGTTAGGCAATGATGAATTCATTGATGGCGTTAGTTACCCTTACAACCTGACAAGAAAGACGAACAAAATAGGATAAGGCGAGGCACTTTATATTTTTTGGATTACGGACCCGCCGACTAGAAAATGTAAAAATAAATACATCAGATTTCCATTTTTTTTTCCTGCCGATAGCCGTGTAGTTAGTTATTTTATTTGTTATCCTCACCTTTTAGAAAAAACATATGAATTTACCCTTGTAAACAAGTAAAGAGATGCATAATTGATCTTTGTTGATCTTGAAGCCGAACATGAATAGCCTCCCTTGACAATTGTCCGTGTTGTAAGTGGTAGAAATTTTATTGTTACAAGGGGCTTTATCGTCACAAATGGCGGTCTTTTGAGCACAGAATATGTTCATAAAGTATGCCAGAGGCATTCTGTATTGAAAAAAATGCTTCGGCTTTTTTTTCCCCCTCCTCCAACCCTGGACCTAGGGCTGAAAAATCCGTAATCCTAAAAATAAAAAGAGCCTGGCCTAAGCGGTCTCAATAAGGAACAATGGCTGCATGTGTTCCTGTTAATAAAACAGTATGAGTCAACTGAGGCTCAAATGAAACATCTATACTTCTTTGCACTTATGTCAGCTGTTCCAATTGTGAAAAGAAAAAACAGTTCCTGGTACTTTCATATTTTTTAGAACATTGTTATGTTTTTCCTGCACATCATGTTTTGTTGCATTGGACTGAAAATGTCATTTGTTTACCAATTGTGCCTGCATTGTTACTTTTTTATTTGCCAATTTCTTTTCTTTTTTGACAATAAAATGTTCTGATGGAAATAAATAAAGGATTAATAATAAGGAATTAGCAATAATGCCTGATACTGTTTACTTCTGTGTTCAATTAAAATGATTTAAATACTGCTCAAAATAAGTTGTGTGACTTAAGTTAACCTTTAATGGCACCGGGGCCGGTCGGGTAGCCTAGTCGTTAAAGTGTTTGCTTGTCACGCCGAGGACCCGGGTTCGATTCCCGACATGGGTACAATGTGTGAAGCCCATTTCTGGTGTCCCCTGCTGTGATATTGCTGGAATATTGCTAAAAGCGGCGTAAAACCATACTCACTCACTCCCTGAAATGGCGCCGGCATTCTGTAATTGGCATTCCCTCCTTTGCCCCCGCCTGTATATTATTTGATATTTTATTTTGACATTTGGAATGAGGTATATAAAGATAAGCTCATTTATGATAATTTTGCCACAAGCTCAATATTTTCAATTTTAGTTTTCACTATAATATATTTTATACTCTGTGTATCTATTTATTTTTCAGATAATTTTTTTTGACTACATGTATTGAATAAAATAAAAATTAGTGTGTTGAAACAATAAAAAAAACCTTCATCTTCGTTTTCTTTTTGACTCAAAGAGTAAACCCATTTTTGTCACGGAATCGGATATAGTTGTCCCTTTTCTGATTCAAACCGGTATCATTTATGGAGAGCTGAGGATTACCATGCTTTCAACTAAGCCCCCAATTTCTACACAGCCAGTGATTCAAAATGGAATCTTTGAATACACCATCTGAGATTCTATCTTTAAAATCATGACTCGCTGGCCTTTTAGATGTTTGGAGCCACAGTGCTCTGAATCATCCTCTACATGCCGCTCTCCCCCGTGCTAAACGCTTGTGGGAGTAATTGGCATTTAAATCTCCTGAGTTTCAAATAGAGGAAGTCAGTGTTGTAGTGATAACTGGTCAATTTGTGTGGCAGCTGGGTCATCGAGAGACTCGAAAAACGTTTGTGAAATGAACAGGTGTCAATTTCAGTGTAAGAGCTCCATGGGGATATCATTCTACTTGGTTGAATTGTAGTGTACAGGTGTCAATTTCAATGTGATGACTCCAGGTTTTGAGATGAAAAGAGCTTGTATTTTTTAGAGGGTTATGTATGAGGGAGTGAGTGAGTTTGGTTTTAGCAATTATCCAGCAATATCCCGGCAGGGGACACCAGAAATGGGCTTCACACATTGTACCCATGTCGGGATTCGAACCCGAGTCTTCGGCATGATGAGCGAACGCTTTAACCACTAGGCTACCCGACCGCCCCGGTTATGTATGAATTATTACTGACATATTACACAATACTGTATCTAGTATTGATGAGTATTGTGTGTTTCAAGGTATGTTGTAAACTATTTTGGAATTCTGTCAGTTGAGTGATGGCGTGGCCATTTGTCTTTACGTGATCTGCTTTAAACAATATTTAAGGCCCCATGTGGCTGGGATCCTCGATCATGCACAATAGTGGAACTTGAAATTAAGATAAGAGATTAGGGCTGGGATGAGTCCAAATTTACTACCCAGGTACCCACCCCCCTATTACCCGACCCTACCCGGGTACCCACTGTATGTCTCAAGAGATACGAAATATCCAATTGGGAATTTTTGTATCACAGCACTTGCAAAATGTATTTAGATACATGTATGAAAGGATCTGGTTATGCATACACTGAAGTTGACTTAAGTTCTATCTTTATTCAACCACGTGAAAAGTCAGAAGGAAGGGTGCATGGTCAGAAAGAAATGCGAACATTAGTGACTTGTAGTGTAACCATAGAGTTCTTGATAATATTTGTCATTAAACAATGTATCACGTGACTAACCATGGGTCTGGGTAGTCCTGTGGGTACACGGGTCCTACTCAGTACCCACCCGGCCTGGGTACCCGAGTTACCCGTCCCAGCCCTACAGGAGATGTTATTGGATGAAATGGTTGTGGATGTGGAGGTACTGGTAGACAGCCGAAAGTGAGCTAATTGAGAATTTTGTGTGTGCAGAGACATAAATATTCAAGCATGCAGTTCTATTAGCTTCCCTGCTAATTTCACAATTCATATTATGCTTTTTGTAGGTTGCATACCATCCCCTACTCCACCTGATCGGTTCCATACAATATGTTCTTATCAGGGCGTCAATTCAATCCAAACGCTTCGTTCGGATTGTTTTTTGGCTCCCAATTCACCGACATACTCCTGGTGGGTTCAAATCTTCACCCATATATGTCCCTAGGCTTACTTAGCCTGCTGGGTTTGATTCTTCACCCTCAGGTTAATGGGTTCGATTCTTCACCCATATATGTCCCTCTGCTTACTTAGCCTGCTGGGTTCGATTCTTCACCCTCAGGTTAATAGGCTCGATTCTTCACCCTCAGGTTAATGGGCTCGATTCTTCACCCATATATGTCCCTCTGCTTACTTAGCCCCCTGGGTTCGATTCTTCACCCATCACTATATTCTGTGCAGCAACCGAGCCAGTCCCCATATTATGCCAATACTCTCGATATGTATATATCTTGTACAGATTATCACGTATATATTAAAATGTTTTTAGAAATATTCTCTCATGTTGTTTCTGCACAGAACTCCTGTTAAGCAAACCCAATGCAGCAACAGCTGGACCTGCAACTATCGTTGCTAAGCAACCCATGCTGCTTACCAAAGCAGCAACAGCTGCCCTGCAACAACTGTTGCCAAGCAACCTATGCTGCTTACCAATGCAGCAACAGCTGGACTGCAACAACTGTGGCCAAGAAACCTATGCTGCGTACCAATGCAAAAGCAGCTGCCCTGCAACAACTGTTGCCAAGCAACTCATGCTGCTTACCAATGCAGCAACAGCTGCCCTGCAACTATCATTGCCAAGCAACCCATGCTGCTTACCAATGTAGCAACCGCTGCACTGCAACAACTGTGGCCAAGAAACCTATGCTGCTTACCAATGCAAAAGCAGCTGCCCTGCAACAACTGGTGCCAAGCAACTCATGCTGCTTACCAATGCAGCAACAGCTGCCCTGCAACTACCGTTGCCAAGCAACCCATGTTGCTTACCAATGCAGCAACAGCTGCCCTGCAACAACCGTTGCCAAGCAACCCATGCTGCTTACCAATGCAGCAACAGCTGCCCTGCAACAACCATTGCCAAGCAACCCATGCTGCTTACCAATGTAGCAACAGCTGCTCTGCAACAACCGTTGCCAAGCAACCCACGCTGCTTACCAATGCAGCAACAGCTGCCCTGCAGCAACCGTTGCCAGGAAAGTCCTATTGCCAAATATTTAGTGAGGGCAACTGTTGTTGCCAAGCTGACCATCAACTGTAAAGTGGACACGGAGTCGCCGCTGTAAAGCAGAATGGATAAATTGGTTCCTGCTGTAAAGTGGGCAACCATATCCTATGTAATTTGTAACTTGGGATGTAGCCATAGATAGTCGCCTCTTACGACAAGCATAGTCGCTTTTAAGGCAAGCGTGGGTTGCTGAAGACCTATTGTACCCCGGGTCTCACTGAAGCAGATGTAACACATGTGGGGTCTCTTTGGGCGAGTGACTTTGTGCAAAATGTGCTCTGTTCGACCAGCAGTGAATTGGTGCCTGGTAGGATGAGATGACAGTGTGGTTGTTAACCTTCTACTGACAAAAAAACAGGAAGAGTTGCATTCTCCCCAGGGAGCTGAGAATGATTGTTGAGTGCACACTGATCCAGTGACGGGGCTAATAATAAGAGCATGCCCCTGAGTGGTGTGGAAGTATGTGCAATATAAATTGCCTATTGTTATAACCCTGACTAATTCTCAAATTGTTCTTGAAACGAGGAAGGGCGGTGGGGTAGTGGATAAAGTGTTCACTCAGGTTCGATTTCCCACATGAGTACATTGTGTGAAGCCCATTTCTGGCATCACCGCCATGATATTGCTGGAATATTGCTAAAAGTGGCGTTAAACCATACTTGCTCTCTCACTCATGAGGACTTTAGACATCTGCCTGCAATGTTATGGCTGACTTGGCCTAGAACCAGATTAAAATAGAAATCTGCACCCTGAAAGCGTGTCGTTGGAATGTCAACATTTTCTGTATTTATTGAGACAAAAAAATCCATGCTTGTTAATTAATTAAATTGTAATGATGTGTCAGTTTCATTTTGAGGTGTACATTTCAAATGACCTTGTTACATTGCCTTTCATTGCAGGATAATTTCTGTAATGTAATTTGAAAAATCAATCTATCAATTTGGTCCTGTTTAAAGGCAAGACAGGTACACATTAATGAAATGAGATGAATATACGAGGGATTAAAAAGATAAAACTATCCTGAAGGAAATTTATGATCTTTTGCTTGAGCTGATTCTGTTGACCCTTCAATCAACGTTCTGGGCTAAAATATTGCTGAAGTATTGCTGATGTGGCAGAATATATGTTCGATCATTTATTCATCATTCAACATCCTTTTTCTGTTGTGATTTAATAATTTGGGCAGATCAGCTCACTGTCTGACAGAGCTTGAAATATGAGATAATTCTCAGGCAAAAAAAGGTTTAAAGAACAATGATTTAGACTAAACCTTGTTACTATAGCAGACAAGTCATCTTTTCACTGCTCAGGGCTCACACATTTCCCCTTTTATATCCTACAGTTCTACACTGTTATCATATATCTACAGGTTTACAATGTTGTCATAAACACCCTACAGGTCTACAATGTTGTCATAAACACCCTACAGGTCTACAATGTTGTCATAAACACCCTGCAGATCTACAATGTTGTCATTAACACCCTACAGATCTACAATGTTGTCATTAACACCCTACAGGTCTAAAATGTTGTCATAAACACCCTACAGGTCTACAGTCTTGTTATAAATGTTGTCATAAACACCCTAAAGGTCTACAATGTTGTCATAAACACCCTACAGGTCTACAATGTTGTCATAAACACCCTAAAGGTCTACAATGTTGTCATAAACACCCTACAGGTCTACAATGTTGTCATAAACACCCTACAGGTCTACAATGTTGTCATAAACACCCTGCAGATCTACAATGTTGTCATTAACACCCTACAGATCTACAATGTTGTCATTAACACCCTACAGGTCTAAAATGTTGTCATAAACACCCTACAGGTCTACAGTCTTGTTATAAATGTTGTCATAAACACCCTAAAGGTCTACAATGTTGTCATTAACACCCTACAGGTCTACAATGTTGTCATAAACACCCTAAAGGTCTACAATGTTGTCATAAACACCCTACAGGTCTACAATGTTGTCATAAACACCCTGCAGATCTACAATGTTGTCATAAATGCCCTACAGGTCTACAATGTTGTCATAAATGCCCTACAGGTCTACAATGTTGTCATAAACACCCTACAGATCTACAATGTTGTCATGAACACCCTACAGGTCTACAATGTTGTCATAAACACCCTACAGGTCTACAATGTTGTCATAAAAACCCTGCAGATCTACAATAGTGTCATAAACACCCTACAGGTCTACAATCTTGTCATAAATGTTGTCATAAACACCCTACAGGTCTACAGTGTTGTCATAAACACCCTAAGGGTCTACAATGTTGTCATAAACACCCTACAGGTCTACAATGTTGTCATAAATGTTGTCATAAACACCCTACAGGTCTACAATAATGTCATAAACACCCTTCACATCTACAATGTTGTCATTAACACCCTACAGATCTACAATATTGTCATGAACACCCTAAGGTCTACAATGTTGTCATAAACACCCTACAGGTCTACAATGTTGTCATTAACACCCTACAGATCTACAATGTTGTCATAAACACCTTACAGGTCAACAATGTTGTCATAAACACCCTACAGGTCAACAATGTTGTCATTAACACCCTACAGGTCTACAATGTTGTCATTAACACCCTACAGGTCTACAATGTTGTCATAAACACCCTGCAGATCTACAATGTTGTCATTAACACCCTACAGGTCTACAATGTTGTCATAAACACCCTGCAGATCTACAATGTTGTCATAAACACCTTACAGGTCAACAATGTTGTCATAAACACCTTACAGGTCAACAATGTTGTCATAAACACCCTACAGGTCTACAATCTTGTCATAAATGTTGTCATAAACACCCTACAGGTCTACAATGTTGTCATTAACACCCTACAGATCTACAATGTTGTCATAAACACCTTACAGGTCAACAATGTTGTCATGAACACCCAACAGGTCTACAATGTTGTCATAAACACCCTACAGGTCTACAATGTTGTCATAAACACCCTACAGATCTACAATGTTGTCATAAACACCCTACAGGTCTACAATGTTGTCATTAACACCCTACAGATCTACAATGTTGTCATTAACACCCTACAGGTCTACAATGTTGTCATAAACACCCTAAAGGTCAACAATGTTGTCATAAACACCTTACAGGTCAACAATGTTGTCATAAACACCCTACAGGTCAACAATGTTGTCATAAACACCCTACAGGTCTACAATGTTGTCATAAACACCTTACAGGTCAACAATGTTGTCATAAACACCCTACAGGTCTACAATGTTGTCATAAACACCCTACAGGTCTACAGTGTTGTCATAAACACCTTACAGGTCAACAATGTTGTCATAAACACCTTACAGGTCAACAATGTTGTCATAAACACCCTACAGGTCTACAATGTTGTCATAAACACCTTACAGGTCAACAATGTTGTCATAAACACCCTACAGGTCTACAATCTTGTCATAAATGTTGTCTTAAACACCCTACAGATCTACAATGTTGTCATGAACACCGTACATGTCTTCAATGATGTCATAAACACCTAACAGGTCAACAATGTTGTCATAAACACCCTACAGGTCTACAATGTTGTCATAAACACCTTACAGGTCAACAATGTTGTCATAAACACCCTACAGGTCTACAATGTTGTCATAAATGTTGTCATAAACACCCTACAGATCTACAATGTTGTCATGCACACCGTACATGTCTACAATGTTGTCATAAACACCTAACAGGTCAACAATTTTATCATGAAAAGTAACAGATTTCAGTATTGAAAAAAGTGAGCCTTGCAGACTTTGGTTTTGGCTTCACAGATGTTCTGTAAGTTAAAACTCCATCCATTCATTCATGCTCCATCTTGCCTTTCAACTGTCCTGTTGACACTGTTGGGATCCCCATGATAGCTTGATCAAATATTGATGGATTTTGGCCAAATTCAATTTGTAACCATATAAACACATTATGCAAACTTGAAAGCCCCCTAGTCAAATGTGGCAACGTTAAAATGTCGAAAGCTGTCACGACAATTGCAGATTGATAGAGTGTGTGGTTTACTTATTAATATTGTGTAATATGGAGGTAAAACATCTAAGACAATGCAGTGTTAGCAAAGAAGATCATGATACTTGGGGTATGGCTTCACACAAACTCAGCCAGCATTGATACTGTAAGCTCGCCAGGATGAGTAAGTTTGGCCTAACAGTGGTTCATTTCCTTCATGGTTTGTGAGAGGAAAGCCCAAATTGATGTAGAAGTTCGTGAAACCCACGAGCACAGGTATGGTGCTGACAAACCAAGAAACATAATCAGGGTGAACCGGGATTCAAACCCAGGATCACAGGATTCTGGCATGCCTATATTTTCAGAGACAAAGCGTTTGTCTATACCATATGTGTATTGGATTTGTTCATGGCATAGTAGTAAAGTCATCAGTATAGATATTAAAGGCACATCTCCCTTGTCAATTTGGACAGCCGTTGGAAGATACGAAATATTTTATTGTCAAATGTACATCATTTCATATTTTCAGATTTTCAATCAAGACTCTTTCAGTTGATAACATTATTTATTGAATAAATGACAATAGTATATATTTGCCATGAATAAAAAAAATTCTTTCTAATTGGAGCAATGTTAACAGTATTTATGTTAACTTATTTGTTTCATTTTTTTATATCATTAGAGTTGGCTGTATTAGAAACATCTCATAAATTATTTTTAATTTTATTTTCATTTTGCTATTTTTCATGAGATTGTATCTGTAAAACCAAACAAAAAAAACTCGCCTTTTTGTGCTATGTGAATGTATATAGGACAAATTAGCTGAGACTTCTGATTATTTGTTCATGATAAATCAACCATGAAACTGTTTATTGTATTAAGAATTACCTAATGTTTTCATAACAAAATACACCACAGATGCTAATTCAGGCCACAATAGGCTTACCTGCTGCTTGACAAGCCCCAGCATCTACAGTGGTCAATGGTCACTCGTGTGCAGGCCACCGGTCAGGTGTGCCGCTGCCTGGACACACAATGCTCCCCAGGTTACGTCAATTTCACTGGCTTATCAGAAATTAGGCCATGAAAGAAAGAAATTATTTACTTGTCAAGATTTGTATACAGGTTATGTTGGAGAGTGTAGGTGTGTAAGCACGTCATTGTGTGTGTAGCTGGCATATTGCATCCCAGACAATAGGTTAGTATTGTCTTCAGGGTTAATGTTAGGTCATAGGCTTGTTGGGGGTTGTCAATAGCTTGTCTGGGGTTGTCAATAGCTTGTCAATGTCAGGGACCTTATTTCACCTTCATATCTGTTTGACAGATGTGATTTTCTTTCTCAAAATGTTGGCAGCTTAATTGGTTTTTAGGGTGATTTTTAATGGCAGGTGGGACATGTTTTAAGAAAAAACTTGAATTGACCTTTTTCACCCATACCGCATTGAATCTAAAATAAAATTTATAAACTTGATCTTGCGTGTCAGAGGAAATAAAGTAAAGAAGAAAATTAAAAAATCGAACTTGTTCGAACTTTGATGGGGAGAGATATTTATATGATATAAGCATATTTATTTCCATAAAACGGAGGTATTGGCAACTGAGCAAATTTTGCTTTTTATAATTTTTTTATATTTATATAGGCTCTGTCTGTTTAACCACCCCCTTTCACTGAACCAAGTGGAAATAAATATTGTTTTAAATTTTAAAAAAATTAATAAAAATAAATAATTTGCAGAATGAGAAGTCAGATGGTTACTTCCCTCCTAATTGTTCTACTGTGAAGTTTTGTCATTAATTTGATCAGTTAAAACACTAAGCAGAGAATAAAAAATAGTCTTCTCAATTTTTTTCTTTAATTTAAATTTGTGTTAGTAAGCCAAATGAAAATAAATCCTGCAAATTACTACTTGGTTACAATATCTTACACCTGGTTTTGAATTAAACATAAACTCACAACTTCTAATTTGGAAGGGGATCAATTTTGAGTTAACATTGTTAATTAAAATACATTATTGTCAATGTCTTATGTTGTGCAGAAGATAAGAAGCCCAGGTGCCTTTCTGTGTTCTGAAATGTCCCCAAACTGAACTTCGAGTACACAAATGTACCTTAGCTTGGCTGGCATAAGGCACTGGAACCAGAATGAGTTTATTCCACTGTGCACAAAGCCAGTTCCTTTGCAGACTTGTGGTGTCCCCTCTTCCTGACTGGTTTTGTGAAGTGGGTGATGGAGATGTGCACTTGTATCTAGCATACATTGCCAAAGGGAGTACATTCTGATTTTATTTTGGTAAGGGTGTTTTTCAGGGAGGTCATTACATCTGAAGTACCAGGACAGTGAGTGAGTGAGTGAGTGAGTGAGTGAGTGAGTGAGTGAGAGGGAATTGTGAATGTGTGGGTGAGTGCGTGAACAAATGTGTGAGTGAGTGAGTGAGTGGGTCGGCGGTCGGGTCGGTGAGTGTGTGAGTGAATTGTGAATGTGCTGGCGAGTGCGTGAACAAATGTGTGAGTGAGTGAGTGAGTGGGTCAGCGGGCACGTCGGTGAGTGAGTGAATTGTGAATGAGTGAGTGAGTAAGTGAACAAATGTGTGAGTGAGTGAGTGAATTGTGAATGTGAGGGTGAGTGCGTGAACAAATGTGTGAGTGAGTGAGTGGGTCGGCGCGGGCGGGTCAGTGAGTGAGTGAGTGAATTGTGAATGTGTGGGTGAGTGCGTGACCAAATGTGTGAGTGAGTGGGTCGGCGCGGGCGGGTCGGTGAGTGAGTGAGTGAATTGTGAATGTGCTGGTGAGTGCGTGAACAAATGTGTGAGTGAGTGAGTGAGTGGGTCAGCGGGCGGGTCGTGGAGTGAGTGAGTGAATTGTGAATGAGTGAGTGAGTGAACAAATGTGTGAGTGAGTGAGTGAGTGAGTTGGGTTTAATGCCGCCTTCAACAGTATTCCAGCTGTATCCCGGCGTGTCAGCTTATTGTGGGAGGAAAGCCTAAAGTGATGCAGGTCTCAGATAATTACCACTTTGGTGAAGGCCACGAGCACGGATATGGTGCTTACAAACCAAGAAACATGATCAGTTCGAACTAGGATTTGAACCCCAACCATTATACAAAGGTTTCAGGTGTGCCCATGGGAAAGAACTCCACACTGCTAATTGTGGTGCCTTAGATGAGTGGGCCCCCCTGTCCCGCGGACCCTGTGCCTTAGACGAGTGGGCCCCCCTGTCCCGCGGACCCTGTGCCTTAGACGAGTGGGCCCCCCTGTCCCGCGGACCCTGTGCCTTAGACGAGAGGGCCCCCCTGTCCCGCAGACCCTGTGCCTTAGACGAGTGGGCCCCCCTGTCCCGCGGACCCCCCTGTCCCGCGGACCCTGTGCCTTCACTACCTGTGAAAGGAGGAATGAAGATGACAGATTGTTCGCACCAAAAATACACCTTACTTTCCTACAACCTGTATAAATCAGCTCTCCATCCATTACCTATATATACCTATATACATACCTACAAAGCTGAAAATAGAATAATTGAACAAAAATAGGCCTACATTCCTCAAACAAGGATGCGCTAATCATCAACTAGAAAATAATTGCATTATAAAAAGTACAGCTATTAAGCTGCCAAGAAAGAAGGCCATTCTGTATGTTTTCATTCCAACTAACAAATACTTTTTTATTGATTAAAAAAGTCTGTAAGACCAGGAAAAGTTAAACATGTTCAAGACTGTGATGTCTGCTTTAACATCGATCAATGCCAAAATTCTCATCTCCGTCACGTCGATTTCATGAGGAAAAAGATGCTTAACACGTCTCTGCGTATTTGATCATGTGATATACGACCAGTATCAACAGCAAGCTCACTTTGGGATATTTATGTAAACATACTGACATCAATTTCACATAATAATCAACAAGCAGTAATGATTCATCTTTGATTGTTGATTTCGCTCCTACAACGGAAGCATAATGGTCAGTCGGTGACGCAATGCCTCCTAGGGTTTGTTCAGCAGTGCAGTTATTTATCAGCTGTTTCAAGTGATAGACGCTTTTGAAATTAACACCGCACCAATAGAAATTGACATGTAAATAATCTTTTATTGCAGTTATTGATTTTCAATATTCTAAAGAGATAAGGGAGATCTGAGCATTTCACTGTGATTATTATTCTTGTTGAAGGAAATATGTCAATGGTAGGAATTATAGGCGCATTTGGCCGTACGGTGAACAGCTGATGGGTGTGATCAAAGAAGAAGCTTGATAATATCTGTTTTATGCGAGTTGTTAATGTTTATCGATGATCTTGCAATGAAAAAGTATTATCACTTGTAAAATCTTTTCTTTTTGTCAAGGAATAATATAATACAGTCTCATTACAGTCAGATCTTTTACTCTGATATGATACCTCTCTGTGTTAACATCTCATGACACAGCCACAAAAGGTGTCTGGCAGAACCCTGAGTAACTTTGACCTTCAATATAAAAGAAAGCGTCATGGGTTCTTTTGGTGATCAGTTTTCAGGGTTCCAAAATGATTTGGCTTCGTTTTCGTACAACCTTGATTCGGAAATTTGTAAACAAATGTAGATCCACATGGATCTGAAGTATTCTTTTGATGGTACTCCCTTGTGGGTGTAGATGCCATGACACTCAGACATGACAGGATACACAAGGTGATGTGAAATGGGGTTTAACGTCGCGTCCAAGACTATTGCACTTAAATAGCGACATGCATGTTTGTGTGTGTGTGTGCGTACTAGTCCAGACTAATGCTGATTTTATAGTGCTAGCCCACTGAGATACCATGCAGCAGTTTAACATGAACACCCCACTCAGACACAGTATACTGACGCCGAGCCGACCAGTCCTTGTTTTCGCCCCTTAATGCCAAAAGCATGGTAACAAAAAGTATCATCTTTTAACATGTTTTGGTATGACGTGGCCGGGATTGAACCCCGAACCTTCCGCTCTCCGGGCGGACACTCTACCACTAGACCACGGAGGCGGTGACTGGATGTATGAAAAATCCTCAACAACATAATGTTGCCACTGTTTATACTTTCAGAATGTTTCGTTTCAGTTCATTTTCGAGATACATTTATCAGCTATGCTGGTTTGAATGCTTTTCTCTCGTGTACCAAGGTTTAAGAAGCCTTGACACTGATTGGCTGTTTAGAAAGATCACCTGACACGACCCCCATCGAGGTGTACCCAGGTCTTCTCGTAGAGAGGTATCTTATCGGACTAACAGGTCTGATTTCAATGAAGTTGATTACAAACTTCCTGTCATTAGCCGGTCAGTGAAGGAGAGAACAACTCCACCAATATGATACTGAACGAAACCTGATTTGAAGCTGACTGCGATACATATGTAACAGTTGCAGAAAGGTCTCTAAACACGTACAGTTAACAAAAACTTTGAGAGGTTTTTTGAGTGTGAAATGTAGTGGTTCATCATAAACTGAAATACACAATGGAGTCATAGCAATTGTGCCATGAAACAAAAAAACAAAATCCTGTGTTGAATGTCAAACATAACCATTGCAAACCTACACTGGTCAAAGGGGAGACAATTTTACAAGCTTGCTGAGCTCTTATCTTAACCATTTGACAAGTGACTCAAAGTGAATCATAATTCATTGAAGTTTAAGACCCAAAGGTGTTATAGTCACATTTAGAATATTCTGAGTAGAAACTCACCGAACAATGGGCTAAAAATGATATGTTTTCATTTTGAAATAAATTTGAAAGAAGCATCTGTAAAATGTTCTGTGTAGCTCTGACAAGGTGAGGTGAGGTGAGGTGAAATGGGGTTAAACGTCACGTCCAAGATTATTGCATTATTATTATTATATAGCGACGTGTGTGTTTTTGTGTGGCTGCTTGTACTAGTCCGGACTGATGCTGATTTATAGTGCTAGCTCACTGAGATACCATGCCGCAGTTTAACATGAATACCCCACTCAGACACAATATACTGACTCCGAGCCGACCAGTCCTTGTTTTAGCCCCTTAATGCCGAGCGCAAGACAGGGTAACAACAAGTACCATCTTTTAACGTCTTTTGGTATGACCGGCCGGGGATCGAACCCCGGACCTTCCGCTCCCCGGGCGGACGCTCTACCACTAGACCACGGAGGCAGATCTGACAAGGATGCTGTATCCATTACTGGCAATGAACTACCCCATGGGGAATCTGGTGCAGAGTGGGTTTCCACTATTTAGCTAGGGTGAATGCGGTTTAAGGTAATGTTCTAGATTACAGCACTTATATAGCAACATGCATGCATGTGTGTGTGTGGCTGAAAGTATCATTCTCGATTTATGCTGGTTTTTATTGTGTCAGCCAACTGAGATACCATGCTGCAGTTCAACATGGATGCCTTACTCAAGCATAGTATTCTGAATCCACGCTGATGGTCCTTGTTTTATGCCCTTAATGCCAGGTGCCAGGCGGGATAACATCTTTTGGTATGATGTGGCTGGGAATCGAACCCCGGACCTTCCGCTCTCCGGGCGGACACTCTACCACTGGACCAAAGAGACGGTCCAAGTGTGTTGTTAGAGTTGATTAGTTGACTGGACTATGTAATCACTCTGTGTGTTCTGGCAGATTCTGCATAATCATACAGTATCAGGTGCAGAGAATACAATGCTTGAAAATCAACTTCCCGAGGCAAAAGAGTTGACTGACTCTAAAAGTCCAGTTTCCACCCTTGCCAAACTAGGCTGGAATTTCTGGGCTCGATCGTAGCGCCACCAGTGTTATGTTGCTTCTATGCCTCTCCTATTGACCAATCAGATTTCACCTCTCACATGCATTTGCTTCAAATAAAATGGCGGCACCCAGTCGAGATGATCTGATCGATGATCAAGATCTATTTTGTGATAAAACGGGTCTTTCCCCCTGAAGTACATCACGTGAGCACCTTGATTTAAGAGATGAGAAGATTTGCAAAATATCTGTCGATGCCCAGTTGACAGTACACATCGTTTGCAAATCCTACCTCGACTGAAATCTGCATGTTGAAATCCATGTTGTTTACAAATCGGATTTCGTTTAACGATTTTGATTGAACTATGCATAGACTCGTTAGTCCAGCCATAATTCCAGCCTGGTTCGGCAAGGGTGGAAACTGGACTCTTTCAGTCAGTTTACATCCTTGCCTCAGGAAGGTGATCAACTCTATTATACACAAAAGTGAGTGAGTATTGCTTTACTCTGAGTCAGCAATCTTGCAGCTGTTTGCAGTGATATGAATGAGTGAGTGGGGTTTTACTCTGCTTTGAGCAATATTCAAGTCAAATCACAGTTTGAGACACCATAAATGACCTTCACACAATGTAACATGTGGGGAATCGAACCCAGGTTTCTGCTTTAACAACTGGCTACCCAACTGCCACCTGAATTGTTGTATAATTGATTATATGAAGACATTATATATCAGGGTAAAAGATGGCCTCTAGTCTGTTAGTCCCAAGACTAGTACAAATCTGGAAAGTAAAGTCTAGTGATTTTCTCCTCAAATCATGTAAAGTTCTAAATGATTTGTGGACTAATCTGCGTGAACTAGACAAAAATTATCTTCACCCTCCAGAAGACAGTAGGATGGCCAACGTCTATTTGTGTTATCATCAAATGCAAATTTCTGCTTCATGTTTCATGTTGGTTGATCTTGATTCCCTCAATGAAACTCATTCTCACGGAGGAAAAAGATTGTCCGTGAACAGGAAGGCACACTTGGTATGATAGGAACCACAGAGTTATGTCCCTTTGACTGTTTCATCATGAAAGCCTGGCTCATGTTAAAGGTTTTATGTTGTCTAATTTAGGTTCCTGTTTCTTCTGCCTAATATTCTTAGAAATATTCACCCAAAGTAGTAATAGCTCTCAATTATGCATTCAACCATACCAGCCTATTGGTTGTCCAGTTGGTTTACACAGTATGGCATGTTTAGCCAACTGGCGTCGGTCCAACATGTGGTCCAAGTTGGTGCCATGCAGGTGTAGGTGTGCATGTGTAATGGCCTTAGTTATGTTGTAAATGTACCTGGAGATGTCTACACCTTAAATGTTACCTGTATGGGAGATAAACATTATGACAAACTGATCTGCTGATGTTTAGCACAGAGTGATTTTACTGCACAGACAAACTTCACACAGTCCACTGTATGTTGAAATTTAATACCTCAGAACAAAACAGAACAAGACTTTTCATTGTCAGCCAATCGCAGTCAACAAGACATTGGCCACTGTCTGTCTACTGGTATAGTTGGACAGGAGCTGAGTTTCCCCCACCCTCAACCTCACCCTCCACATTCACCCTCAACCTCACCCTCAACATTCACCCTTAACCTCACCCTCCACATTCACCCTCAACCTCACCCTCCACATTCACCCTCCACATTCACCCTCAACCTCACCGTCCACATTCACCCTCAATCCCACCCTCCACATTCACCCTCAACCTCACCTTCCACATTCACCCTCAACCTCACCCTCCACATTCACCCTCAACCTCCACATTCACCCTCAACCTCACCTTCCACATTCACCCTTAACCTCACCCTCCACATTCACCCTCAACCCTCAACCATTGCACCCCACCCCCTCCCCCAGACAGCACCCCACCCCCTCCCCAGACAGCACCCCTCCCTTCCCCCAGACAGCACCCCTCCCCTCCCCCAGACTAAACCCCTCCCCTCAAACAGACAGCACCCCCCCTCCCGAGACAGCACCCCACCCCTCCCCAGTCAGCACCCCTCCCCTCACCCTGTCAGCACCCCTCCCCTCCCAAGACAGCACCCCACCCCTCCCCCAGACAGCACCCCTCCCCTCCCCCAGTCAGCACCCCTCCCCTCCCCAGACAGCACCCCTCCCCTCCCCCAGTCAGCACCGCTCCCCTCCCCTGTCAGCACCCCACCCCTCCCCAGTCAGCACCCCTCCCCTCCCCAGACAGCACCCCACCCCTCCCCAGACAGGACCCCACCCCTCCCCCAGTCAGCACCCATCCCCTCCCCAAACAGCACCCCACCCCTCCCCAGACAGCACCCATCCCCTCCCCAGACAGCACCCCACCCCTCCCCAGACAGCACCCATCCCCTCCCCAAGATTGCACACTTCCCCTCCCCCAGACAGCACCCCACCCCTCCCCCAGACAGCACCCCACACCTCCCCCGACTACACCCCACCCTCCCCCAGACAGTACCCCACCCCTCCCCTAGACTACACCCCACCCCTCCCCCAGACAGCACCCCACACCTCCCCCAGACAGCACCCCACACCTCCCCCTGATAGCACCCCACCCCTCCCCCAGACAGCACCCCACCCCTCCCCTACACTACACACCTCCCCTCCCCCAGACAGCTCATCCTATGATAAAGGTATCAACACGTTGTGTACACTGTGTGTCTTCCGTTTCCACCTCTCCCTGGCATCATCACTTTCACCTTGTGATACAGGTAACATCTCAGAAAAAATAAATGTTGTCTTCTCACCTTTGCAGCTTACGATTTCAACAATAAACATTTACATATATTTTGCTACATTCCAACTGAACGTCAACAGTATCCCCGTCATCAGTAAATAAAATCTTACCAAGGCGCACTCGGCCGTCTAGGAAAACAGTTTAGTCTCCCTGGCACGAAACACTGCAAATGTCAAAGACACCATCAGGGAACAAATGTTTGTCAGGTGTGATACAGATGATTAACACTTTGCTTACTGATTTCCCTTTCGCCCAACACCAAGGCAAATGAACCTCTTCAGACGAAGGGCGGGGAGCTTTTTGAAAGAAACTGAATTTTTTGTCTGCAGATTCCTGTTTTTCTGTCTGCAGATTCCTGTTAGGTTATTGCTCTGAGAAGTCCATTACCCTTTAAAACTTGTGTAGTCATCTTCTGTGTTGTGAATATTACCAGGAAGCCGTTTCTGTGTTTTCCTTCCAACCTGGACATTTATACGATGGAAGGGAGGATATCGGTAAAATAAATAATCACACGTTTGAAAAGACCCCCTGTAATACTTCATTTGGGAGGTCTTTTTAATCTTTTGTTTAACTTAATTTGAAGGCATATTTGAATTGCTAAAATTCTTTTATTCGGTTTGTTTCCTTTTTGCTTCTAATATTGATATATATTTTAACACAAGGGCAACTCATATTTGATGTACATGAACATTATTTGAAAATTGAGGCATTTTATATGGAATATAATATGGGCAGAAAATAAAATATAAATATTTTCTGCATTAAATCTGCTTTTGATGTGGAATCATGTTCGTGCCTATTTTGGAAAATAAATATTACTGAAATCTGATCCAATGGTTCATGAGAATTTTGTCCAGCCCAAAAGGTGGTAAGGTGTGGTAGTGAATAAATAGAATAACAAACCGAGTTAGATTGTTCTTACAACACAAATACTGAATCTATCATAGCCACATGTTGAAACAACTGGCCGTATCAGCTGATGGTTAGATTGGGAATAACATCCCAAAGCTCCTCTGGCCAAAATACAGAACATGTTTTTGTAACGCTTGCTCGTTATTGCTTATTGTTTTCATAACACAACTGTAAGGTGCCTGGTTTTGGGATGTATGATGTAAAATTTATTTCAATTTTTTTGTTTGCATCAGAAATGTTGATTAGTCTGTGCAGAGAGGATTTTTTAAATTATAAGTTCAGTGCTTTTCTTTAAGTGCTTGAATACTTTGCCCTGTTTTCAGAGATGAACGAGAAATGAAATAGCCATGTTATCGATATGTGATCTGCCCTAGACAAATTCTGTGACTCCGTGATTATGGAAAGATTTGCAGAAAATGACTAACCGCAGAAGACTTACACAGAAGGCTTACCTCAGAACTGCAGAAAAATCATGGAATTTACCTTCTTCTACCATAGTTTTCATTATTTTCAAGCTTCTCTATCTTATTTTGTACTTGAATGATGCTAAAACATTTAACATATGTTTCAAACATACAAATAATGAATCCTAGATTAAAACGAAATTCGAAATAAATAATTCTCACTTTCTTGTAGTATTATGACTACATAAAGTTGACATGTTAAAACTTTGTATTAATTTACGAGGGGGAAATGGTTCTGTTTTTACAGCAGACTTTTGGTAATTTTATCGCAGAATTTTGGTATTTTTACGGCAGAGTTTTGATACTTTTTCTGCAGAAATGCCTGGAACTGTGTGATATAGGTTGTGAGTATGACATGATTGTCTTGAATTAGTTTATACCATAGGGTGTTTTAGTTGACACAGACTTCAGACCAGAGGCTTATGTCACTGACGGACTGACATGATCTTTGGAGCCTGCGGTATCATCACTGAATCACTGGTACCTTTTAAGAAGAAGCATCTTTGAAAGAACTGTGTTGAGAATTAAGCTGACATTGGGCAAGTCAACATCAATGAGCGTGATGTCATTATCTACTGTTGGGGTCATTGACCTCTCTCTACACACAAATATACCCTGGTATGGCACAGGTATGATACTATTTCCACAATGAGTGAAACCAATCCAGTTTGGCTGTAAACTCAGTCGTGTGTGCAATGTGCTGCAAGGGTGTTGTTCACCTTAATCCCCCAGAATCCTGACTTAAGCGTTGTTAATATTGCCATGCTAGGGTACATTTTTCTATAGAGAATGGTACCTGGGGGACATTTGTGTATACAGAAATGTACCTGGGGTATACATGTGTATAGAGAAAGGTACCTGGGTTAAACATGTGTATACAGAAAGGTACCTGGGTTATACATATGTATACAGAAAGGTACCTGGGGTATACATGTGTATACAGAAAGGTACCTGGGGTATACATGTGTGTACAGAAAGGTACCTGGGGTATACATGTGTACACAGAAAGGTACCTTTGGTATACCTGTGTATACAGAAAGGTACCTGGGTTATACATGTGTATACAGAAAAGTACCTGGGGTATATGTGTGTATACAGAAATGTACCTGGGTTATACATGTGTATACAGAAAGGTACCTGGGGTATACATGTGTATACAGAAAGGTACCTGGGGTATACATGTGTACACAGAAAGGTACCTTTGGTATACCTGTGTATACAGAAAGGTACCTGGGTTATACATGTGTATACAGAAAAGTACCTGGGGTATATGTGTGTATACAGAAATGTACCTGGGTTATACATGTGTATACAGAAAGGTACCTGGGGTATACATGTGTATACAGAAAGGTATCTGGGGTATACATGTGTATACAGAAAAGTACCTGGGGTATACATGTGTATACAGAAAGGTACCTGGGTTATACATGTGTATACAGAAAAGTACCTGGGTTATACATGTGTATACAGAAAGGTACCTGGGTTATACATGTGTATACAGAAAGGTACCTGGGTTATACATATGTATACAGAAAAGTACCTGGGGTATACATGTGTATACAGAAAGGTACCTGGGGTATACATGTGTATACAGAAACATGCCATTCGGATACCATGACATGTATCAACCAAGTCAGCAAGCCTGACCACCCAATGCCGTTATAGTCGCCTCTTACGACGAGCATAGTCGCCTCTTACGACGAGCATAGTCGCCTTTTACGGCAAGCATGGATTACTGAAGACCTATTCTACCCCGGATCTTCACGGTACTGCATAAATTAATTTAACATTGCTATAATTGGATAAACTGGAATTTGAACCCACAATCATGGGTTTCTGGCATGTCCAAGAAATTAGGGGACTGGTGTGACAGAGGTTTGGTTTTAATCTTAAAAGCTGATTCAGCACAAACTGATAAGAGTATGGAGGAATGCTGAAAAATACAGAGTGAGACAATATGGAATGGGCACACATTAATATAGGATGAGACAACAGGACAATAAGTTCAAGAGGGCTAAAAACAAACCCTGTTGTCTCAGATGTGTTGAATCCCTGGTTGTGTCGACCAATCTGGTCCTCAAAAACTGGATGTGTCAAACTGGATGTGTTGAACTCCCAGTTGTCTTTGAGTAAAGGTACATTGAGTAAAGACTTTATTAGTAAAGACATGAGTGAAAACAATGAATAAAGGTATAATGTGGTATATTTGCTTTTTGTTGACTGATGGTTAAATTGTTTGATAGACATTTCTTAGAAGGTGATGGATAACAAAGTAGACACAAGTTTTGGAGAACAACTTCTTTATTTTACTGTCATGGCGACGTTTCGGTTTTGGAGACATCATCGTTACAGTAAAATAAAGAAGTTGTTATCCATAAATTGGGTTTGATGGTTAGTTTAGATGTTGTTTGTTTGTTTTTTGTTAATGCCACACTCAGCAGTATTCCAGCTTTATGACGCCGGTCTGTAAATAATCGAGTCTGGACCAGACAATCCAGTGATTGATATCATGAACATTGATCCACGCAATTGGAATACGATGAAATGCATCAACCAAGTCAGCAAGCCTGACCATCCGATCCTGTTAGCTGCCTCTTAAGACAAGCATAGTTGCCTTTTACGGCAAGCATGGGTTGAGGAAGACCTATTCTACTCCGGATCTTCACGGGTCTAGTTCAGATGTAATCAGGTTGAATCGGATGTCAGACGCTGTATATGACACCACTATAAAGTGGCTTCATATCCTACACTCTGAAAACAGGGGTATTGATAACTCCACAATGGTGAACCTGTTGATATCAGTAAGCACTTCAGCTTTCAACATTCTGGTGGGGAACATTATTCGATGGATGTTATAATCATAAAGGACTGTTTGAGGTTATCCACAGGCTGTGTTTGGTGGGGCTGCCTATAAGCTGCCATTGACGAGAGCCACGTGTTGCTCACCTGGTTAAGTTTATGGAGAATAAAGTTATTGTAGGAAATGAACAAGTATGTATTTCATTATCACAACACTTGATCACTCATGTACTGAGAACGAGGTGTATAGATGGCTGATGCAGTTTCCTAGGTTTTATACATTACCAGATTTCACGGAAAATAAATATACATTACAGAGAGTAATTTTTTTCTGGATATTTGGAATAGTAAGATTACAGGATCCATGACTTAGTGTTGAATCATTGATCAGAGGTTTACTTAACAAATTTAGCGGAAGGCCGGTGGTTCAAGCCCTGTTCATACCAAAAGATGTTCAAAGATGGTACTTGTTGTTACCCTGAATGGCGCTCAGTATTAAGGTGATAAAACAAGGACTGGTTGGCTCGAATTCAATATAATGAGTTGGGTATCCGTGTTAAACTGCAGCATGTTTTGCGGTGGGCAACCACGATGAAAGTCAGCAATAGTCCAGATAAGTACAAGCAGACACACATGCTCACACACACACTCATACTTGCATGCAGAGAGAGAGAGAGACCAGTCCTTGTTTTAGCCCCTTAATACTGAGTGCCAGGCAGGGTAACAACAAGTAACATCTATGAACGTCTTTTGGTATGATGTGACCAGGAACCCTGGAACTTTTGTTCTCTGGGCGGATGCTTTATCACTAGACCACGGAGGCGGCCATCTTCCATTGTGGACATCAGTTCCATGTTTCACTTGAATTGCAGTCATGTTCAAATAAACATGAGGAAATAAATATTTCTAATCAAAGCTATGTCATTTACACACAGGAATGAAACATATATCAGTGAACTGTTTTATGTCATGAATAATACTCAGTTAAATGTTGCATAAAACTGAAGTACCGTGTGGGGCCTGTCAGTTATTTAGGGGTCAGGGAATAGGGGTCAGCAATAGAGGTTAAGGGACAAGGAGTTTGGTTTGACATTGCCTTGAGTGAGTGAGTGAGTGTGTTCTAGTTGTATCATGGGGCTATACCGCCCTGAACAATATTTCAGTAATAGTGCTGCACAACAGTTTTAATGGGGAGCTCAAAGTGGCGCAGATCACAGACATTTACCATCTTGATTAATCTCACAGATAAGCAGGTTACTCACAGACCAAGGAACGCATGGATTCTGAGTTGGAGTTGGTCCCTAGCAACTAGCCTTGCTCCAAGGCTGCACTGAAAGCAAAGTCAATGGATGTGTACCTATTCTATCCTCCCAATAGGCAAGTCTAGATATGTGGACAGGGATCACTTGCTCTTATAATTTACATAATTTAGAAATTATGATTTAAACTAATAATTATTGTCTTAGAAACTTGTGCAAGTCTACCCAGCAACCTATGGATCAGGTGGCGAGGCTTGGTGGCTTGGTTGATTGCATGTCCTTGTGTCCCAATTTCGTGGATCGATGCTGATAATATCAATCACTGGACTGTCTGGTCCATACTCATATAGCTGGAATCTTGCTGAGTGCAGTGTTGAACAAACAAATAGACCAAGGATCATAATTTTGAGAATCTGGGATTAGAACCCAGCCATTGTCATTGTGTCACCGTAAATGACTCCCTACGGGCCCCTGGTGCCCGTGGCTCAGGGATGGGGTTTAAGGAAGGGATGTGTTTTAAATTTGAATAATATTTATTTGATTTTCTTATAAAATTACTTTTTACTTTCTCAGAGAAGGTCAATTAAAAACTTGAGCACTTTTGGGAGGGGCAACCTTTTTGGTGCACTCATGGAAGAAAAATCTCAGTCCCACCTTTTCTTAGATAAATGACAAAAATACCATTCACATGGGTGGTCAAATTCAATCTTTAACATCTGCGACAAATCCAACCAGATCACAGGATAGCGATGATCATCGTGTCATCATGCCTATCCCAGCATGCACTTCAGCATTTGTCCAACTCTTCACACAATGGA